CCACTGCGCCTTTAGGGTCTTTGGGGTTTTTTGAGGGTTTTTAGCGTTTTTAGGGCTTTTAGGGTTTTTAGGGTTTTTAGAGTTTTTAGGGTTTTTAGGGATTTTAGGGTTTTTAAGGATTTTAGGGGTTTTAGGGTTTTTAGGGGTTTAGGGTTTTTGGGTTTAGGGGACTCCTGCCGACCTACGCCCCAAACCCTTTCAAGCCAAGGCCCGAAGAGTGTCCAGCTTAGGGTAGTCAGCCCGAAACCCTAAGCCCTAAACCCTAAACACTAAACCCAAAATCTGAAGCCTAACCCCCCCGCAGGGTTTGCAGGACAAGCGCTTGGGGCTCCTAGGGTTCAGGGTGTGAGTGCACGCACTGTGTCCGGGTAGGGTTTAGGGTTTAGGGTCAAGGGTCTAGGGCTTAGGGTGAGTAATTCTTCCTAGAACGATTGCGGGGTGAGTGGGGCTGCAGGGTTTCAGGGGCTTCATGTGCCTTTTGAGGGAGTTATGGCTTATGCGGCTTGTGGGACTCCATGTCTATGGTGGAACCCATAAATGGGAATCAAACTTGGACCTGAAAGGGCTTCGGGTTGAGGTAATAATATATGGAGACTTATAATTCCCTTAGAGGATCGCTACGTAAGAAGGCCCCCCAAACCCAAGGGTAAACACCCTCAAACGGGGTCTGAAAACTGGGGCTTAGGATGCAGGAGTTGCTTTGATGTTGTGTTTATAGGATTTGGGGTTTAGGGTTTAGGGTTTCGGGGTGTCCCCTTGCAGCTACTGCCGATACACTCCCAACGCCCGCGTAAATCTCGTGCTGGTGTTGTGCTGATGGACGGGTTCAGGGTGTCAGGCCAAAGCGGCACACCGCCAATGGCCTCACCCTGCATGTACCCAAAGAGCCCAATGTGGCTTAATTAAGGAATATTCCTTAAATCATATAGGGATCCTTAATATGGTTTATTGGGCTCTTTGGGTAGGGTTTAGGGTTAAAGGTGCTGCCATGCGAAGTTAAAGGCCCGGCATTTGGAGCCAGTTCCTCGGGAGCCAGCTCCCCGAACCATGCGGCGCTCCAGTGTGAGGCTGGACAGCTGCGGCTCACCTTGCACCATGAACCCTGCTGCCGAGCGCGCCTGCTCTTGCAACGCCTCCAGTTGTGCGAGCCACGTGTCTCTTGTCTTCGGTACAGACTGGCGTTGCTTGACGCTTTGCGCACCTGGGTCGCACAGCAAAGATTCTGACCGAATATGCAGCCACGTCAGGCCATCTCGCAGCTGGACCCCTAGAGTACCCCCAAAAGCCCAAAACCCTAAAATCCTAAATCCCTACAACCCTAAACCCCAAACCCCAAATCTCAACCCCCAACCCTCAACCCGAAACCCTAGACCCTCAACTCAACCCTCAACCCTCAAACGCTAAACCCTCAACTCTACCCTCAACTCTATGCCCCAAACCCCAAACACCCCCAAACCCTAAACCCTAAACCCACGAAGCCCCTGAGCCCTGGGTGCAGCTCCTGCGGCGCTAAACCCTAAACCCTAAACCCTAAACCCTAGACCCTAAACCCTAAACCCTAAACCCTAAACCCTAAACCCTAAACCCTAAACCCTAAACCCTAAACCCTAAAGGCCCTAAACCCCAACTGCGGCCCCGGGTGCAGCTCCTGCGGCAGGAGCATCGCAAGGGCATCGACAGGGCCAGCGAACCTCGGATCGCCCCCCCCCCCACGCCGCCGCGGAAGGGTTTAGGGTTTAGGGGTTTAGGGGTTTAGGGTTTAGGGGGGTTTAGGGTTTAGGGTTTAGGCTGGTTTAGGGTTTAGGGTTTAGGGTTTAGGGTTTAGGGTTTAGGGTTTAGGGTTTAGGGTTTAGGGTTTAGGGTGGTTTAGGGGGGTTTAGGGTTTGGGGTTTGGGGTTTGGGGTTTGGGGTTTAGGGGCCGAGGGCTTTTCGAGACCAGGGTTTGCGGTTTAGGGCTTCGGGGCTCAGGATTGTTGAGGGAGGTTGATGAATCCAAAGCCTACACTCTAAATCATGGGTTCTCTTATACTACCCCCCTCTATACTACCCCCCGAGGTTCCCCCCCCAAATTAAGGCTATTTAGGGATAATTAAGTCTAATTAAGGTTATTTAAAGGGGGAACTTACGGGGGCTAGTATAGAAGGGGGTAGCAGGGGAAGAACCCATGACTAAACTTCCAACAACGCCTAGACCCTGAACCCTAATCACACGTATAAGCCCTCATCCCGAAACCATAATTTTTAGGGTTTAAGGTATACGGCTTAGGGGTTATCTGCATCCCGGGCCGAGACTCGAACCTGGTTTCAGGGTTTGGGTTAACCTAAGGGGTACCCTGCGGGGGTTCTGGCCAGGACTCCGGAAAAAAGCGTCCCACTACCTTTGTGCAGTGGGGACCCTTTGAAACTCGCCTGGGACCCTGCGACCCCCGCGACCTTCCCAGGCTAGCATTCCAGCTCCTAAACCCTAAACCCTAAACCCTCCTTATGTGGGAACAAAAAAACACTTGCCTTCTGGACACGATGAGGCGCCTGGGAGCCCGCTGGGACCGCTGTGGGACCCCGCCGACCCCTGTTTCGTTTCACTCGAGAATGTAGTATCCCGACTAGTGCGCCCCCCTGGAAATGTGAAAACAAAACGAAAAACTATTCAGGGGGTCTATTTGAGGGGGTCCCCCGGAATTGTGAAAAAATCGGGCGATGCAAAATTTCGCTGAGCCTGAGAAACCAAAGATCTGAGCCTGAGCAAAGGTCTAAAGCCTGAAACCTTGAGGCCTGAGGTTGTCGGGCCCTGAAATCTTAAGTCTCCAGGCCAGCCCCAAAGCTAAAAGATTTCCTTACACAATGCTTTTGTACCGAGGCCAGGCAATCAAATTTCAAAGGGGGTAGTCCAGCAGTTGCCCGAATGCCGTATAATGTAAAACGCTTGGTCCCCCGGAAACATTTTTTTTGCGGGCTAGTTGGGTTTGGCTCCAGGCTTTCTAAGCTGTCGGGCCCTGACATCTTAAGTCTCCCGGCCAGCGTCAAAGCTAAGATCTCCTTATAAAATGCTTTTGTACCGAGGCCAAGCAATCAAATTTCACGGGAGGTAGTCCAGCAGCTGCCCGAATGCCGTCTCACCTCGAAGCAATTACACTGGACAGAAAGGTGCCAAGCATCGGTGAGGTGGCAAGTGTACGTGTCCACTTGATATGCCGGTCAGTACGATCCCAAATATATAGGCAATGGTAAACGGTTTACGCGTCATCTACTCCTCTAATTGAAAACTGGGCCTGCAAGAAAGCTCCTAAGTGTCTTTGTAGCATCCCATGAGGGCCACTTCAACTTTTGCTTTACCGTTTATATCCGTTTTGCATCGCTTAAGCACCGGCCGGGTACGTGGAGTCGGTGGCCACAATGGCCACTTCAACCATGTGCCCGCTTTGCTCTGGGCACTGATTGGCCTCAAAGGAATTCTCTCTGATGTTTCTGCACAGAGGTCACACTTCATGCCACAAGACAAGCGAGATGCCACTGTACAGCTTGCGAGCACGTGGTTGCCTCCAGGCAGTGAGTCCTCTCCAGCTTGCGTGCAAACTGCCCTCACTGCGCTGATAACATGGTAATTACCCCACTCCACCCTGTGGGCTCCCCATCACTCCCCATCACTCGCACACTTGCAGAGGGCAATCTCTCCTGCAATGTCCTTCGCATTTCTTGCATTGCAGTGCGCAATGGCAGCAACTTCCCGGGCTTGCCCTGCAGATTCTTGAAATCAACTACGTGCGCGCTGCAACTGAGCTCCCGAGACAGCCTAGACTCTGGGCGCAGGCTCGGGCGAATGGCCGTGAAACCCGGAAGGACCACGCGGCAAGGAGGCGCCTTACCCTGCACTTTCCGCCGCTTGGGACATGCTGGGGACACCAACGGACTTGATGGCACATAACGGTAGGCGCGACTTTCCACTGACTGCGCTTCTTGTGCTGGCGGCGGCGCCTGCGCCTGAGTCGCTCCAGTCCAAGTCCGAGGCCAGCCGCTCCGCACCCACGATCTCGGCTGCCTCGCGCAGACAACCCTCGCCATCACTTGCCGCTCCCACCGACATGTTGTCCTGGTCCGTGTCCTGCTCCACGGCAGTAGATGCCCAGGCGTGCCACTGCGGCCTGCCTGCGTGCCAGTCACTGGATTAAGGATCGACCCTAGCTGATATCGTGGTCTATGTCTCTAGCGGTTTCCAAGCTAGCGGTTCAAAAAAGAAAATATCATGAGAGGGCGGTGCTCCTAGTACTTAGTCTACACACTCTCAGCCGCTTCGGCAACTTCACTCCCTCCACCCCTTCCGGCGGATTCACTGGCTGCCCATTCAGAACCAAGTCAGGGACCTCGGAAACGTTTTCGCGACGGCCTCTGCCCAGTCGAATAAGCTTGAGTTGCGGCCGTTTCTCCCTTCTGTTGTGAGGCTTCCCAAAGAGCCCAATATTGCTTAATTACGGAATATTCCTTAAATCATATAGGGATCCTTAATATGATTTAAGGTATATACCTTAATTAAGCAATATTGGGAGGGCGGAGCGGAACTTTTCGTGCGACGCTGCAGACGACCTCGGCCCGGGATGTAACGCCTCGCCGACACGCGCTCCACGCATCGGCCACCCAAAGAGCCCAACATTGCTTAATTAAGGAATATACCTTAAATCATATTAAGGATCCCTATATGATGTAAGGAATATTCCTTAATTAAGCAATATTGGGCTCTTTGGGCACCCGGCCCAACGGAGGAGCTTAATAAGCAGCCCCAAAAATTTGTTTGCACTGAAATAAGCGAAAACGAAAAAGTAAGCCCCCTTGATAGTGGGTTGGGGGTAGAAACCCTAAACCCTAAAAGAGTTGAGTCTGGGTGGGTCTAGGGTGGGTGTCACTTAGCTGCGCTGGACGGGTGTTTTACATCCGAGCGAGCGAATACGACCTACACACCCTAAATCCTAAACCCTAAACCCTAAACCCTAAACTCTAAGCCCGAGCCACGCGGAGAGGTCCTGCGCCAGGGCTTCGATGAGAGCTTGGCCAGCCAGGTTGCAGCCGCTGTAGATGCCCCTGGGATGGGGATTTAGTCCCTAAACCCTAAACCCTAAACCCTAAATTTAGTTCCGGATCTTCCAAAACCCGCTCTTTAAGGAATAGACCCTGATTTGTGCTCAGGATCATGATGATGAATTATAGGATATATTTATTAATTCAACAAGCCTAAACCCCGTGGGATGGGCATTTCGTGTTGCCCAGTCACCTAGGATGAAAAAGGATGCCCTTTTTCGCACACAGGAGTCTTTGAGGGAACCCAAACCCCCCAAAAAGGGAAACAACAGGGCACTACTGGGCATCCTGGGTTTAGGGTTTAGGGTTTAGGGTTTAGGGTTTGGGGTTTAGGGTTTAGGGTTTAGGGCTTCAAGCTGTGGGTTTGGCTCTCTAGACTTACTCCACAACCCCTCCACATTGGCATGTAAACTGGCAAAAGAGCTTCAACCGAAAGGTTTAGGGTTTCGGCACTAGCGCTGTAGGGTCTTGGGGAGGGACTAAACCCTAAACCCTAAACCCTATAAACCCTAGACCCTAGACCCTAGACCCTAGCCCTAAACCCTAGACCCTAGACCCTAGACCCTAGTCCCTAGACCCTAGACCCTAGACCCTCGACCCTAGACCCGAGACCCTAGACCCTAGACCCTAAACCCTAAACCCTAAACCCAAACCCTAACCTAAGCCGAGACGTTTCCACAAGTGACCCGCGGAATTCTTCTAAAACAGTGGTTTCGCTCGACGCCTCTGCATTTTTGAAGGGTTGTGTTTCAGGGTTTTTTCTTCGCTCGTGTTTTGGTCAACATGTTTGTGCCACTTCAGGTGCTCCGGCCGCCACTGCCCTCAGTACTTGCTGTTGAGTGAACTAATATAATGATATAATGAAATCCTACTACGATGATTGCGCTCCTGTTACCAGCACATCCATTCTCCAGAGTATCCATACCCGCAGGATGAATACGTTCGTGTTGTCAGCACATCCATTCCCCAAAGCATTCATGCCCACACCATGATTACGTTCCTGTTACTGGCATCACTGAGGCAGTCCGGAGGCCCTGAGACAGAAGCTCGGACACGTCTTGAAGAACCGTTGAGAGAACCCGAAAACGACCGCAACCTAAGTTGAAGTTGGACTGCCAAAAACGAGCTTCCCGCCCGAAAAAACGCGGGAAAAAACGCGGGCCAGCTAAGGTCGCGCCAGGACCTAAACCCTAAACCCTAAACCCTAAACCCTAAACCCTAAACCCTAAACCCTAAACCCTAAACCCCCAACGGCTGCCAAAGGGCGAGAGAAGCGCCTGGGTGGGCTCCTGCCAGGATTGGCCCGGCCGCAAGCAGCTCGCAAGTGCCTTCCCAAAGCTACAAAGTTGCCTAAGCTTGGGTTTAGGGTTTAGGGTTTGGGGTTTAGGGTTTGGGGTTTTGGGGTTAAGGTTTTTAGGGTTTAGGGTTTAGGGTTTAGGGCTTATGGTTTAGGGTGTAGGGTTTGGTAAAAGCTCTCCCCCCAAAAAAGCAGACAATCCCTAACATGCTGAAAGAGACTGTGCCTAGGGTCCGCTTTTTGGGGTTGGGCTTGGAGGTCTTTCGCCTCGAGGGCTTCTGTTGGAGGGGTCAAGATTGAAGCCTAGATCTTCCAACAACCCCTTAATTAAGGAATGTGCCCTAACTTATTCGACATGATCCTTAGTAGAAGCTAGGGTATATTCCTTAACTAAGGAATATCCCCCACATTTATTAGTCATGATCCTTAGTATAAGCTAGGGTACATTCCTTATTTAAGGAGGTTTTGGGGAAGATCTCGAAGCAAGCGCCGACTTCCATGGGATCCTTCGAGCTTGGGGACGGACGGGTGCCCCTGCTTTTGAAGTAGACCCTGGGAAAAAAGTACATACTTCTTAGGCGTAAGTAGCTATAAAAGGAACCCAGGAAAAAAAAAGGTATATACTTTTCAGGTGTAACTAGCTATGATAGGCACCCGGAAACAAAAAAAGCAGGTACTTGCAGGCCCGCTATCCGATGCAAAGAGCTTTGCGGTCTACCAGGGTTTCCGAAATGAGGGGGTGCCTTATTGGGGTCCTTATTACAAGGGCATCCGACTATTCGGGCTTCTATATTAGGGGGTCCCTTGTTTTCGTAAACCCCTAGGTAAACCCTAAACCCCAAACCCTAAACTCCGAAACCCTTACTTGCGAAGGCAGCCCCAAACCCTAAACCCTAAACCCTAAACTCTAAACCCTACACCCTAAACCCTACACCCTAAACCCCCACTGTAAAGCTTTGAGTCGGCAGAGTTCTAACTCGTCTGGCCCCAAGTTTCCACAAAGACCTACCTAAACCCGAAAACCGAAACCCAAAACCCTAGCTGGGTGAGGGTTTTGGGCTTAGGGTTTAGGGTTGAGGGTTTAGGGTTTAGGGTGCAACTCTCTTGGGCCAGCGCCTCGGTTGCGAAAGAGAGGTCCGCCAAAGCCCAGCGACCTCCTGCCCAGCTGGCTGCTGCAAGGGTTTAGGGTTTAGGGTCTAGGGTTTAGGGTTTAGGGTTAGGGGCTGGGGTTGAAGGTTTAGGGTTTTGGGCTTAGGGTGTGTAGGGTGTAGGGCGTAGGGTAGAGCAGTGGTCAGCTTAGTGCAGTAGCTTAAAGACAAGCCCACCCCCAGGCCGCCCAAAACACCGCTGAGCCCTAAGCCCCAAGCGCTAAGCCCTAAACCTAAACCCTAAACCCTAAACCCTAAACCCTAAACCCTAAACCCTAAACCCTAAACCCTAAACCCCGAAGGAGGCCGAAGTGGAGCCAGCCGAGCTAAATCCAGCCAAACCAAATTCCGCACATCGGTTTTTCACGGGTTCCCCGACTATCCCCGTCTAAGGGTTTTGGGTGTAGGGTGTAGGGTGTAGGGCTAGCCCCCTTAAATACCCTTGATGATGCTTAATGATCCCTAAAAAGCCAAAATTCTGGGGGGAACCCCCATGAGTTCTGAAGTTTAGGCCCTGGAGTTTTGCCGCAGGTTCCCCAAGGGCCTACATGGGGTTTTGGGTTTAGTGCTTAAGGTTCGGGGTTGCGGGTTTAGGGTTTCGGGTTTAGGGTTTAGGGCGGTTTACGATAGTAAGGGGTACCCCCTTATTCTCGTTATTCTCGTATTCCCCAAGTATCAACAGGGTGCTTGCGAAATGATGGCTTGGCGGGGGGGGGGGGGGGGGGGGGGTTGGGGGGGGGGGGGAGGACCTCTAAGAACTGAACAAAACTGAGCTGAGGCCTTCATAAACGCTTCGCCGAAGCCACTTCAGCTGCTAATCCTCAACCCCTAACACCCCGAACACCCCTAACACCCCTGAACCCCTAACCCTAGACCCTAAACCCTAAAAAACCCTAAGCCCTAAGTCCTAAACCCTAACGCCCTTTAAACCCTAACACCCATCCTGGCAGGAAGGCATCGCCAAGACGGCTGCGCTGCTGCATCAGGGTGTGGAAGCACCTCGGTGTGGGGGGGGGCCACATAAAGGGTGCCCACAGCAGACGGCCCAAGAGGGCATACAGGCTGGGTAGCCCAGCAACCATATTATGATAAGGGCACCCTTTTTTGGGTTGGTTTTTCTTGTAAGGGAAACCATAAACAAAAAAAGGGTGCAGGGTACCACTGGGCTACCAAGCAGGGTACCAGGCTGGGTTGTTTGAGGACTCAGAGGGCTCCATGGGCTTCCTTCATTGGGGATGCCTTCAATCCACGGGCAGGGGCAAAGTCAGGAGCATGCTTCTTGATTCCAGGAGGGTTCAAGTTGGCCTTGGCAGAGCCGCTGCTCTTGTATAGGTGCCCTCAGTCTTCAACTTCAGCAAAGCTGGCTTCTGACTTTGACTCTTCACATCCGTGCAGGTGTATGAACGATCGCATCTGTCGGGCAGCTTCCCCTTCAATTGCGGAAGGAATTTCCAGCTGCGACTCATAGAAGCACGCTTGCCACGGTGTCGCGTCCAAGGGGTGGGTGGGGAGGGTGGGGGATGGAGGGGCGTCGGGGCTTGGGAGCGATGTAGGTTTAGGGTTTAGGTTTAGGGTTTTAGGGTTTAGGGGTCTAAGGTTTGGGGTGTAGGGCATTTAGGGTTTCGGATTGATAGGCTTTGGAAGTGATAGGCTTTTGGGAGTGGTAGGCGTTGAGCCTATGGGGTAAGGCTTAGGGCATCAAGCTTGAGGGCTTAGGGATTGAGGGGTATGTTGCCTTAGGGTTTAGGGTTTAGGGTTTAGGGTTTAGGGTTTAGGGTTTAGGGTTTAGGGTTTAGGGTTTATGGTCGGCTGCATCCACATGGGGGTCTTGGGGGCTGGAGGACCGTTTGGAGCTGAGGGCTTTGAGGGTGTGGGTTTTTGAGGGTTCTCAGGGTTTGCGGTTTTCAGGGTTTCGGGTTTTACTTTAGCGGCGGAAGGGCTTTGACTGACTGGCCCCTAGCTGCTCTCAACTGTACATCTCCAGGAGGTATGTGAACGCCTGAAGCCTAAACCCTCAACCCTAAACCCTAAACCCTAACAGGGCCGTTTCGAGACGACTGACGACTACTGCACGGAAGATTGCAGATTCCATCCCTTCTCCCGCCTCAAGATAGGGTTTAGGGTTCAGGGTTCAGGGTTCAGGGTTGAGCGTTTAGGGTTGAGGGTTTAGGTTTAGGGTTTACTTCAACGTCGTCAAGCCGATTGTACTCCAAAGCGCTACCTTGCAGCGTATGGGGGGTAGTTCTGAATCAGATCCACTTAGGGGTACCCGCTGATAATAGGATCCCTTCTGCAACGGTCCCTAAACCCTAAATCCGCATGTCGCTAAAGGTAGTTACATGGTCCCTTCACATGGGCCCTTAAAAGGGGACCCCTTACACACCCCCTATATACCCTCTACAACCCAAGGGCCCACACTTCCGAACCCTTTAAAGGAGGTAGGGGCCCATATTAAGGGCTCATCTAACTAACCGAAAAATACCCCCCCCCCCCCCCCCCTCCCGCCCATTATTGTTGTATTGGAGAACATCGGGGTTTTTGATGTTAGGGGGCAGTGGGGGTGGGGGTTTCATATTAGGGGCAGGGGATTACCCTTGGAGTATCTCTACCCCGAGTCCCAGATCCAAAGCAGCCCGGGGCACACAAGGTTGGCCATTAGCACATTGCGGTCCGGGTCCTGCCGCGGTGGGAAAGGGCATAGGGTTTAGGGTTTGGGGTTTGGGGTTTAGGGTTTGGAGTTTGGGGTTGAAGATTTCTTGGTTTAGGGTCGACGCGCATGAAAGCAGTGCATTCTGCTGTCCTCAAGATGCAGTAGATCCCGCAATCCAAAGTCATCATCATCATCATCATCATCATCCTCATCCTCATCATCATCATCCTCATCCTCAACTATCATCATCGGTCTCACGTTTTTTGAATAGTCTCACTTCTTTTTTGAATAGTCCTTGCCCTTTTAACATGTTATCTGTTGCGCACATATGTCTTGCATCACTGCATCACCTGTTCACGTTTCAGAAGAGGGGGGGGGGTTGCGCGCTTCCACCGGCCGGGATAGATGAGGCCTCTAAGCTCGCATCAAAGTATGGCAGGCTATATAGGGATTGGCTCTTTTGAACTTGGAACCCTAGCAAAAAAAGTAACTTATGCTGCTTCTTAGGAATTATAGTACCCAAAAACTAGAAAATATTCCCAAGCATCCCTAAGTTAGGGTAGGGTGCAGGGTTGCTTGTTAAAAGGCGTTCAGTTCTTGCGGAGGTGTTGGAACCTCAACTCCTGATCAAAAGTTCTTCGAGACGTAGCGAACTCCGGGACAATCTAAGGTGCTGCTTGCTGTAGTATGTTTTGGGTTTGGGGTTAGCGGACGCTCCATCAACCTTCGTACAACTTGTTAGCAGTGGCTGTAACCTACCAATGCGGGGAAAACGGTGTAGGTAGGGTCGTTTTTGTGCTGAGTTCGCATATATAAGCTAAACCCTCAACCGTAAAATCTACAAACCCCATATGCCAACAAACCTAAACCAGAACCCTAAGCCTAACCCCCAAAACAGCAAATTTTGGGGCCCAACTCACAAACCTAAACCCTAAACCTAGCCCCCAAAACAGCAAACTTTGGAGAATAACCCTAAACCCTAAGCCCTAAACCCTAAACCCAAAACAGCAAACTTTGGTGCCCAACTCAGCGTCCTCGGCTACCATTGGCTCGTGCAGGTCTGCAGCAGTAGCCAGAAGATTGGCTCGCAGACCGCGCGGTGCGGACCTGCGGTTCAGGGTTTAGGGTTTAGGGCTTAGGGTTTAGGGTTATTCTCCAAAGTTTGCTGGGTTTAGGGTTTAGGGTTTAGGGTTTAGGGTTTAGGGTTTAGGGTTTAGGGTTTAGGGTTTAGGGTTTAGGGTTTAGGGTTTAGGGTTTCAAATTTAATAGAACCCCTCAAGCTTACGCCGAAGCGATGGTATAGACGGTTTCGTTACCAAGCTCGAGACAAACATCGGGGAGCTTCCTCCAAAGACATCGCCCGTTCACACAGCCGCATGTTCCGAAGTCCCTGCTCCGAAACATCCCTGAGGTTCTGAGGTGGCCTCATGTTAACTGAGCTTGGGACCCTCGCAAAAGTTAAAACCCTAAACCCTAAACCCGAAACCCGAAACCCTAAACCCTAAACCCTAAACCCTAAACCCTAAACCTTCCCAAGTACCCGAAGTAACCGCAGAAAGGAAGCTTTTTAGGGTCCAGGGGCACTTGCAGGCCAAGGTGCACGCAGATGCGCGCGCCGTCCGGGCCCAGGAGGTGTCCTGGGCTTCGAGTCAGGGGTTGGAGTTTAGGGTTTAGGGTTCAGGGTTCAGGGTTTCGGGTTTCGGGTTTCGGATTTAGGGTTTCGGGTGTAGGATTTAAGGCTTAGGGTTTAGAGACGCAAGCCGAAGGCCTTCGACAAAGACTGGTAAAACTTGCAAGGATACTATGGGCTGAAGAGTGTGATCAAACTTGACAACTCGGCAGAAATCTGCCGTCAACTCGGCACCCATCAACCTATAACTCTGGTTGAAACTAGGTGTAAGGGATGCTAACCAAAAAGGCTCAGGTAACAAGCTAAGAATGGGTCATTCGTTCCCCGGAATCTCCCAAAAAACAGTACACGCGTACGAAGCCCGGTCATGCGAAGACCACACGGTTGGCGGGAAACTGCGCAAAAGCCTCAACTCTTAACCTTGGCATAAGTCCGGACCATGAGCCCTAAACCAAAACCGCAGCAAGCACTTGGTTTAATTTCAGCGTCTGAGGCCAGGCAGGCTCATGTTCCGTCCAGGGCGGTGATGGACCTGTTAACGCGCACTCCAATTTGGGCTCGAGGCCTAAGCCCGAAAGCCTACGGCCCTCAACCCCACACCTGAAACCCAGCAGCCGGGACAAGGTCCTTCATTACACCCCCTAAACCCTAAACCCTAAACCCCAACATCCCTAAACCCTAAACCCTAAACCCTAAACCCTAAACCCTAAACCCTAAACCCTAAACCCTAAACCCTAAACCCTAAACCCTAAACCCTAGCATCCCTATTCCCTAAACCCCTTAACATTCCTTAACTAAGGGGCTTTGGAAGATCTGGGGGAATTGTGCCTGCACTGCTAGGAGCATCGATGGCCCAAGGATCTCGCCGTCGGCCTGGATGCTGGCCTGCAGGTTTTTTGGGGTTCTTGGGGTCCTTGTGTAGGGTTTAGGGTTTAGGGCTTAGGGTTTAGGGTTTAGGGTTTAGGGTTTAGGGTTTAGGGTTTAGGGTTTAGGGTTTAGGGTTTAGGGTTTAGGGTTTAGGGTTTAGGGTTTAGGCTTTAGGCTTTAGGGTTCCCAAACCTCACTGCTAGCCTTCTGCTAGCCTTAGCATTGTAGGTTTCGGAGGCCGTAGGCGGGTCTGCAAGGTGAAGTGGCATCAGGCTCAGAGCTTTGTAGAGCTGAACCAGCAGACCAGGAATGACCAACCCTTCCCCCAACCAAAACTTTCGGTTCTCCCGGAGCTGTGGGACCTGCCCAAACTGCCAGCAGGAGCCGAAGTGTGATGCCACGAGATTTCCACGCTCTCTAGGCCCTCCCAAACTGGGCCCCCGCCCCTTGAGACCCCCCCAAGGGACCCTTGCTGGGACCCGACACCAGATTTGCCTGCAACCCTTCCTGGCGTTTGTTCTGGAACCCTCTCCTGGGACCGTTGCGCACGCTGCACCCCGCATTAAGGTCAGCACGGCTGCCGAGGCGGCGCGCGCGCGCGAGCGTTTACAAATAAGCACAGCGCAACCCCTAGCTTCAAACACCGAAACCTTAAATTCCGAATCCAACGCCCAGAACAACTGTCTCTTGGCTCCACAAACCTCACCCAAAACCCTCCTCCCCTGATGCGTACGCAAACGAAGCTGCAAGCGACGCCACAAACTCAGGCAAACACCCTGCAACCCTGCAACCTTGCAGCCCCAAGCGCCAAACCGGAACATCCCCAAGCCCCAGGGCACCTGTACCAGGCTCAAGAACCCGTGCAGCGTTCGATGGAGCTGAGGGTCCTGGCTGTGGCAAGGCTTGGGGCTTGGGGGTTCAGGGTTTCGGGTTCCAGGGCTTAAGGTTTTGGGGGGTTTTGGGCAGACATTGCTCTCGCCGCCGTGGAAGCGTTGTCGAGTTTGGCACTTTTCGATGGGGTGGGTGGGGGGGCAGGGTTGGTTTCGTCCCTTGTTGTGCTTGCAATCGGAAACGCCGGTATTTACAGCGTTTTTGCTGTCGGCTCACTTGTGCTCAATATGTTGGCAAAAATCGTCGTCGGCTGCTTGTGTGTTTGATGGGAAACTTTTTTTGATGCGCTTTAGTTTCCTTCGGGGGGGGGGGGGGGGCTTCCAGAATCCTCGAAAAATCACGGCATGTTCGGCACATTAAGGGTTTAAACTACTCAGGCCCTGAGCCAGAAACCCTAAACCCTAAACCCTCTAAACCCTCTAAACCCTCTAAACCCTCTAAACCCTCTAAACCCTCTAAACCCTCTAAACCCTCTAAACCCTCTAAACCCTCTAAACCCTCTAAACCCTCTAAACCCTCTAAACCCTAAACCCTAAACCCTTCCCCTTGGAGGTGTCCGTCCTTGGGCACGAGCCGCTGCAGTGGGGCCTCGGCTGCATCCAGCAGAAGTAGCCAGCCTGAGGCTTCAGGTTTGCCACCCTCTCAACATCCTCCCTAACATGCTATACCGAAATTCCAGAAGTCGCTACTAAGAACGGGCATTACCCAGATCTTCCGAAAAAAACCCTTAATTAAGGAATATACCCTACTTCATAACAATAATCCTTAGTATAATTTAGGGTATGGGTAAACACTGAACCCAAGCACTACTGCATAGAGAAAGGCAGGACCCATAGTCCCCACAGGCATGTCGAAAGCGCTGACAGGGTCCCCTGTTCCTCAACATGTTCAACCCTGAGCCCTGGCGCCCTGCGGAACTCTAAGCCCTCCACCCCGCGGAAAACAGCAACAATCCTACGCAACAACAGCCGTTGAATTTTACATCTGAACCCCAAACTTCATGGAATCCAAGATCTAAAAAGCGCCCCTTAAGCATACAACGTCCAAAAGCAGCCCTGGGTCTGATGTTGGCCAGTGGAGGGGTGGTTCCATGCTAGGAGCTGCTGCTATTTTCTGAAAGGGGGGGGGAGGGGGCGAACCCTTTGAGGCAGCAGGGAGCTTTGCTGCCGCTCGGCACTCCATTGTGATGCAAACCATGCTGGCCTGGTTCTGGCCAACTGGGTTCCCTGTAGCGGAACTGTTTGGTTCTCACAAGGATCCCAGCCGCCTACGAAATGAAGCACCTGAAAAGGGACATTAACATATATATATATATATATAGAGATAACGTCCATGCTGGCCTCAACCCTCAACCCGCAACCCCAAATCCTCAACCGAAAACCCAATCGAGACTCACTATGGCTTTTGGGGGATCGAAGGCTATAGGAGCTTAAATCTTTAGGTTTAGGGTTTAAAGGCCATGAAACCCAAGAACTGCTTCAAACCCCTCGAACCTAAACTACTAAAAATGTCCAAGCCCTGCCCAAAGACACCTAAAAAGCGCGTCAGGTCCAGGAGTCCGAGAACATCCCAAAAACCCTAAAGCCTCAACCCCAGAAGCCCTCAACCCTAAACCCCCTAAACCCCACCCCCCCCCCCCCCCCAGCTTAAGTTCCCTCACCCCAGAACCTCAACGCGTTTAAACTGCTTGTGCAACTTAACCCCAACCAGGCCGCAAATCCCCAACACTAAACCCTAAACCCTAAACCCTGAAACCTAAACCCTAAACCCTAAACCCTAAACCCCAAACCCTAAACCCTAAACCCTGTCCAAGGGGCCGGAGCGCGCTTCCTGCGCGCGCTGGCAAGCTCGCGCCGCCTGGCTGCTGGCGACTTCGGGGGTTTAGGGTTTAGGGCTTAGAGTTAGGGTTTAGGGTTTAGGGCCTGTTTGGGGTTTAGGGCTTATCGGGTTTAGGGTTTGCGGGGTTTAAGTTTAGGGTTGGTAAGAGGGTTTAGGGTTTATAGGGTTTATAAGGTCTACAGGTTCTTGTTCGGGTTGAGGTTGTATAGGGGGCCAGCACTCTGCGCCCTTAAGCCCTTTGCCATGGACCTCGAAGTCCTTATGCCCTAAACCCCCAAACCCCTGAACCCCTGAACCCCTGAACCCCTGAACCCCTGAACCCCTGAACCCCTAAACCCCTAAACCCCTAAACCCTAAGCCCTAAGCCCTAAACCTAAACCCTAAACCCCTAAATCCACAAACCCCAACAGCAGCTAACTAGCCTGAACCCAAGCACGTTGTAGAAGACAAACCGCGAACGTTAACCCTGACTCCCTGGCTCCAAACACAGCCCTAAACCCTATAAAGTCTAAACCGTAAACCCCCAAACCCTAAGCCTTAAACCCAAACTAAGCCCTCTAGGCTCTAGCGCCCTGTGGGCTTCAAAGTTGAGGTACTCTCAGTTCTACAAGGCCTAAAACCCCCTTGTCCCTCTCCTTTATTCGCCCGAAAATCCTGAACCGCAAGCCCCGAACCCCCCAATCTTCAAACCCCAACGGACCACAGCAGCCAAAGATCCCGAAACACCGTGACACTCCAAACCTGTCCGCAGTCTCTCTCTGAACCAACAACTCAAACAGATGCCATTCAATAGCCCCCCGAAGCTTTTCCGGCCTGCGG